GAAGTGAATGTCATTTCTGTGATCAGGGATCAACGAACCATATAATACAAGTTTCATCGATTTTGGTGAAAAGGTGGTCGCGCCAAGCTATCGCCTGTTTGCGCCACAGGCGCCTGTGCCGACAGCGAATGTCATATCCGTGACCAGGACACCGAATAAAATCTGTAGGCAGAGTTTCAGCGAAAGAAATTGAGCTATCGGAGTAGTAAAAGTGGAATAAAGCCCAAAGAGTAATGCTAATTGCTCGAACGACTGATGACGATTGGATAACAGAAGTTAGAAGCAAATGACAAGAAGAACGGCTTTATCTGGAGAGATTACAGAACAGGGTTAAGTAGCAGTTAATTCGGACTGATGTAAACAAAGATTCGCTGCTAAAAATGAACAAGAAAAAACAGGCAACGAAAATGGAACAAGCCGCTCAGCCGTTAGCATATATTGCGAATCTGTAGAATAAGAGAGTGATCAAAGAGAAAGTGAAAAATTTTTTGGCCCTTCGGGAATATAGCAAACTGCAAACTAATATCTGCAAGGCCAAATGTCTACAAGATAAGATGCAAAAGTGTACGAACTACTGCGATAATCAACCTCTCTTGGGGTACGCCACGCATCCCACTTCTATACAGTATCGTAACGTTTGAATACGATTCGCCCTATACATGCAAATACGCCGACGGTGTACGAATCCTTCTTTGATCCCATCCCACTATTAGGTGTCGAACGTACTAGAAACCTACGGAAGGATGAAATGTCAGGTTCACCCGATCAGAACCCAACCCCGAGTCTTGTACTCAACTGACTTGCAACGCGCGACTGGTAAGTGCTCTTCGTCGATTCGGTTTTTGAGTACTGTAGCTGGCTGAGCTGAGATGAAGTGATATCCCCAACTATTCATAACTCTAACAGAGGACTTCAAGACTTCATCATCAGCACAAACCTGGATTTCCGGCTATGGTGCTATACGGCGGGAACACGGAGTCGGCAGCAACTACCACTTCCTGGTAGGACACGACAGCACTCTTTCAACACCGCACTGCCACCAATCACTGATCCAGCGCCTATATGCACGAATGAGCATATCTGTGCTGCGCTAATCACACAATCCTTAAAGAAATGCTTCAAATTCCTGCGTAGAAAAGAAGCCATGAAACATTGCGTAGGGGTCATTCTATCAAACGAGAATGCTGGACCCCCCCCCCCCCCCCCCCCCCCCCGCCCGCCCCGCCCCCCCCGAATCATTTTTTTACACAGAAGCTGTTTCAAATGATTCGTAACAGCATTATCCATTTCTACTATGTAAAGTTAGAAGGGGTGCAAGCACCCAAATAAAAAAATCAAGCATTTTATACTCCTTTTCATTGCGGACTGTCGGGCGCATCAGCCAGTAGGAGTGCGCACACTGTTTGAAGCCGTTCTCAGCCTTTTCGTTGAAACGCGTATGCGACAAAAAGTGGTAGAAAACGAGTAATACGAAGGATATAATGCTGTTATGTCATTTGATCGCTTCAACAACTGGTGCAGAAAGACTTTGGAACCGCGGAAAACCGCGCGCACTGACCCGCGCCCGCGCAGTCCGTAATGATGAGGAGAGTACGCTGGCCTCGATCATAACGTGGTCTCCAATGTGAACTGGGAACAACGTGACTCCTTTACTAAATTTCTTCGAACTTGGTCGTATCAATGTTCCTTGCCGTATAATACAAAACCGCCCGCTTCGTATAGCGGCCAGATCACCACGAATTATGACATCTTTCTGGACAATGTTCTGAAAATGAAACATTACTACACATTCAAAATTCAAGAGCAGTGTGCCAGGCTTGCGTGTCGGGCAATCCGTGGTGTTAGTACTACGCCCCCCCCCTTCAGAAACACTTTGAACCAGTTGTAAGTAGGAGTAGGGTCAAAATTTCCAAAGTATCCACTAGCTCTGAGCTACAGAAAGGTACTATTGTAGCGATAAATACGTGAAGGAAATAAACAGAGCTATAACTGGATACCGTTCTGGAGCTCCAGGCTTCGGCGACG